TTCACTATGTATTGTAATCTTCTTAACCTATTGCGCCTTTTGAATTTAGTAATCTATCTATTAGAAAATGAAAATGAGTTAGAGAGAAGTGAGTTAGGTAAAAGTGAGTTAGAAGTGATCAAACTCGATATCTCTAAGGTTAATGATATTAATATATTAATTGATGATCTTTTAGTTGATAATAGCTCAAAGGTTCAACAATTAATACAAGATATTGAAAAATATAGTTATTTAATCAATCAACCTGTTATAACCAAAGACATACTTACAGATAAGAGTAATTGAAATAGTAAAACATGATTTCGAAGATAATAGTGAAGTTAGTGACGACGATAATAAACCACTACCCTACTGCCAGTAACTGTTACAGAAGCTGTAGAGATGCTTAAGAAAATTATAAGATATCAGAAAGATCTTGAAGCCGAAAAAGGATCCAATAAAAATAGACTAAAAATGTTAAGAAAAAATCTTAAAGAATGGAATTATAAAAAAGAAAAAAGTAAAACACAAAGTTCAATTTTATCTTTTTTTAATTATAGTGATTCAAGAGATGTTAAATACTAAAAAAAGCCTGGTGATTATAAAGTTATTATTACCTGTTTTAGAGGTATGAGCCTATTCTATTAATATTATTCTATAATTTAATAGATTTTAGATTCACGATCAATGAATTTTATTATATAATTTGCTAAGAGCTATTTACGAAGAAACAACAGAATATCTTTGTAGGATTTTAATTATTAGAATTGGTAAATTTTTTTAATTTAGATCAAAAAAAATAAAAATAAAAATAAAAAAATAAAAAATAAAAATAAAAAATAAAAAAAATAAAAAATAAAAAAAAAACTCAAAACTGGCTATTTTTTATAAGTCTTCATATTACCACAATTAAGGACGTAATCACATAACATTTTGCTCTTAAAATTCTCTAAAAATTCGAATTGTCGAATTTTTACTTTTTTTCTTAATCTTGTTTTTGAATATTTTTTTTTAATTTTTTTCTAAGAAATAAAGCCACTACTATCAGCCTAGAATAAATAGTTTGAGTACTGTAAAGACAAGCTTGATTATTAAATCAATAATTGTAAATCTATTTGTGAGCTATAAACTTGAATTAAATTGTGTGATATCAAATTATAGGATATATAGCACACTTTTCAAACTTAATACAAATTTACAATTTCACAGTTAGTATATCTAGGATTTATTGTAAGTTGATAAGCTTTGATTTATAAGTTTAAACAAAGCTATAAAAGACTATAGAATTCTAAAATATATAAAAACAATATTTTATCAATAAAGTATGGTGCTATAATTAGTTATGTCATGTAAAAATTGTAATAATATAATAAAATCATTAATAAAAATATGTAATAATACAATTTCGACATGATATAATAATTATGGCACCATACTTTATTTATCAATATGTTTTTCTGACAATCTGGTATTATAATAAAATTTTTTACATATTAGCAGATTTTTATTAATTGGGTTCTGAATGTGAATAGAGCCACTAAATTTAGGTTAAATCTCTTATTTAATTTCTTTTGATTGATCTGATAAATGATAAGGATTTAATGAATATGCATAAAACCTATTAGATTATCATCTAATTTATTAGTCTAGATCTAGCAAAACATGCAGATTAATATATTTATTGTTATAAAAAATAAACCTTCTGTCTTAGTCTTTCAAACAATTGTATTATCAATAACCTGTTCCACTATAAAAAATTTTAGGGCTATAATTTTATAAAAATATCAAAAACACAATTTATGAAAATAATCGATATATAAAATATAAATTTGGTCTATCTTGTACAAGGAATATTCTACTCAGAACTATGACTTATAATATAAATTTGGTTAATTAGAAAACTGTTAATTTGTGATAAAATATTCTAAACTATTGGATACTATTATTAGTAAAACCAATTTCTGTTTTGCATATGATCAAGAAAGAGTTTTATAAAAATTGTATTTTTGATTATGATTGGTTGTATCAAACAAATTTTTATTGGCCGATTTAAAAATCATATGATATATAACTTTACAAAGAACAATTTCTATATTATAGTTAAAAAAATATGATAGTAACTATAATTTAATTGTGACTATACAGTGCAAGTCAGTATAAACCAATACCCCTGCGCCAAATTTTTAAATAAATACTCAATTCTGATTAGCTAATATAATGTAATCAATTGTGATTGGTCAAAAATAATATATAAGTTTCTTTTTTTTATATATTAAACACCAAATTTTCAATTACTTAGTAAACTTTAAATTGATATAACTTCTTAAAATTAAAATAAAATAAAAATCTTTTCTAA